TTGCACACAGAGCAACCCAACAGTGGGAAGCTCCTGACATTGACCCCGGGTCTCCAGGGAGTAGGAGGTCCAGGCTTGCTTTAGGTGCTGTGCTGGGCCATGCTACCCATGATGGCCATGTAGAGTATGGAAAGAAGGAGTCAAAGACAGGGGCATGGATTCATATCCTTTTCCCAGATCCCTGCAACTTCAATGGAAACAATAACAGCTGTAAGGGGGGCGGGGAAAGTAGTTCTAATGGGAAAGGCTGAAGAGACTTAGACAAGATGATCATTTGCAGCATTTTAAGCTCCACTTTAAAAAAATGTTATTCCATCTTCTTCTTTGTTGTTTGGTTTCTTCCTTTTCTTTAGGGAAAATTTAATTTTTCTCGTTAGGTGGCTATTAATAAAAACTTGTTGGGAAAACATTTTTCTGGTTAATCACCTCCACTTCCCTTAAGCTATAAAGCCACTTCCTAAGCATGAAAGATGGGAGAACTGAGTAGAGGAGAGGGAGGAGAGGAAGAAGAAGGGAGGAAAAGGATGCGGGTGGAGGATGAGGATGAAGAGTCATTTAGGACAAAGAGGCTGTTTGTGAAGGACAGAGACAGAGGAGGAAGAAGAAAATGAAGAAAGAATAAGAAGGAAGAGAGAGAGGGTCAGGAGGAGGGGGAGGGGGCCAGGACTTCAAGAGTGAGGAGAGGGGAAGGGGAAGGAGGCGAAACTCAAGAACAGTGGGAAATGTGTGTGAAGCAGGTCAGCCATGGCAAATGAGGGAACTGAAGAGGAAGCAGACAAGATCTAGTGTCCACTCCTGACTCCGTGCCATGTCTGACAAGGCTGCTGTGTGGCCCCCACTGTCTGGTTCCACTGAGCAGAAATGTATTTCTGTGTTCAGCTCTTCCCGGGTCAGAGCTGCTTGGAACCCTGGTTCCCTGTGTTTCCTCAGTCTGAGATCAGTCTGCTGCCAGGCACTATTCTGGAGTCATTTCTACCTGTGCCCAGGCTGAGGCAATGCTGTGGACACTGAGCTGATGTCCTCAGTCCACAGCTGTCGTTAGACATCCAGAGTGTGGCCTTGTGTGGCATGCAGTGAGTTAGTCTACTTCAGAATGTAGGCAGCTGTGTGCCTCTGTTCTCTACCTCAAGCCTGAGGGTGCTACAGGGGACAAGAAGTATTGTCCTCAGATCTTCTAAACATCCCTTATATTGAAGTCCCTGTCAGTGATATTTATAGGAAATGGCTATTGCAGCTCCCTTGGAAAAGGCCAAATAAAGAGAGAAAAATGCTTTGAATCTGGAAATAGACTAAATTGTTCCAGTCTGGAAGAGGTACAGGCTCAAATCTAATTCCAATCCACTGCCCAGGGAACTGACATTGAGTTAATCCTGGCCCGTGGCCTTCCACAGTCCTATGAAAACATAACAGAGCCAATAATCCCCTCTCACATGTGTTCAGAGAGGTGTCCTAGTCATTTTCCAGGCCCATGTGGCTGGACCCAACATTGACAAACAGCCTGTCATCTTAACTCAGGGCAATATCTCTACCTGAAGGTGAATATAGGTCCTAAGATAGACTGGCAAACTGGAAAGAAGACAAGGTCCGCCTTGCAAACGTAAACTTAGGCTGCAAAACCAGATCATAGGTCATACCATACCACTAAGAACTGAGGAAGACATTTCCCTTGGCTGCAGTGCTAAGATTTAACACCCTTGCACATATTATTCAAGCACCTACCACTGAGCCGTGTCTGAAACCCAGAGAAAGCATTTCTACCGGTCCTTTCAGATTTTATAAAAAGTACAATTATTGTTCACCATCTCCTGTGCATATGCACAGAAGCTAATTTGTCAAATACTGATGTTTCAAATAGACTGTGTTCCTATGCCCTGTTCTGTCTTTGTTGTTGTTCTAATACATTGAAAGTTATTTGGCAATGTAGCTCTTTATGTGATACTGGAGAGCCTGTTCTCTAAGGGTCCAATTCTTACTGACAGGATCCTATCCAAACATGAAGTAGAGCAGGTCGGTAGTGAGTATGTGCATCACAATGGATACACATAGCGTGGCTGACCAATTGCTACTCAATTATTGAATATGCATTATATATCAGTGAGTAGATAGTTAACTTATTATGGGTAGTCTGATAAAAATCTTTTCCTTCCACACTAGGAGTGTGGTTGGAATGACAAATAATCTCAAAACATTCATTTTTTTTTTCATTTGTTTGTTTCTGTTTTCTGAGACAAGGTCTCAGTACATAGCACGGGCTGACCTGGAACTAGATATACAGCCTAGGTTGATTTTAACTGCCAGCAATCTTCCTGTCTCTTCATTCTGAGTGCTAGGATTATAGCTCTGCAGCAACATGCCCAGCTGTACTTTATTACAGAAACATTACAGACAGATCAGAAAATATAGAAAAATTAGAAGAGGAAAATTCCAGTATTTTCAGTGGTATGAAATTCCTGAGATAAAAGGACAGATTGTAAATTCTGGGAAGAAGGGAGCATTTTCACAAGTTTCTGCTTTAAGCGTATAGTGCGTGTGGAACATGAGTTCAACTAACAAAAGCAGCAATGATTGGGCAAGGAAGGTAAACAGACATCCGGACCACAGATCTCTGCCTCCTAGGCCTCCTAAGAACACAGAGCAATTCTAGCAATTTCCACATGAGTTTCATGCACATAAAGAACCCCCAATGTATTTAGAACCTAAATACACAGTGAGGACTGGAGTGTCATTCCACTCTAGATGTAACACAACTACTTATTCTTAAGTTACAAAAAAATGCTGTTCACACATAGCTGAATGGGCTTCTCATTCCCAAAATCCCTCTAGGAAAAGAACAAGTTTTATTGCTTTTGAAGCATAAGTTTACACTGAGCATCATGCAAAGCTTGTTTTAAAAAGTCTCAAAGCTCAGACAAAAGAGGAAAACTTTCATTAAAATACTATGGAATCAGACATAAACAGTTCCATAATATTTCACTGTTGAAACAGAGAGGAAATGTGGACATTGAAATAAACATAAATGCTTTATGACTGTACTTAAGGTAGCAAAATCACTCTTCATTAATATGTGGAAACAAATTTACTATTGATAACAACATAAAAAAGTGAAGGACAGTGTACATAGCTTTTGCATATTGTTTTAAGCACATATCTATACAAAGCAAGCTTAAATAATTGTTGACATATAGGGTAAAAATGGTATATTAAAACAAGCCATTATCTTCCTAGAGATCAAGAAATAGGTACTGCTTCCAAACTTTAGAAGTCAAATATACTCCCTTGTCTGGAAAACACGTTACTGACCCTAGCCTAGCATTACCTTCTTCAAGAAGGAAAGAACATATATTTCAAATATCTTCTCCACCAGCATTCTACGTTAGCTGTGTATCGATAATGTTATGATCAAATCAATCATACCAACTTCAAGTCTTCTTGATCCACCTGCTTGATTTTCCATACTTGATTAAACTCCTTCTTGAACTTTTGGTGTAAACCTAACTTTTTCCTCTGTTGCTGAAAGTCTTTCTTTAAAGTTAATTTTTAACTCCCATAATACTAACTTAAATCTAGAGTCTACTTTATTCACTTTCAAAATCCACCCCATACTTTCAATAGGAACCCAAATATGTAACTGAGCACTCAACCCTGGGGAAGGCAATCACCTTTTCCAACAAATCTCCACACGGGTGACACATCTCCCTCCTACATACAGGACAAGCAAGAGCAAACCAAGGATTTGTCACTAAAAAAGGAAAGAAGAGCTAGTGAGACTGTATAGTCGCCAACAAGATACGTTTCTTCATTGTGTGTAAAGGAAAGACATTTTTTTTTTATTTAAAGTGCACATACTGCCCAGAAAGTAAATTGCTTTTGGAAGTCAATCAGAAACCAACTCAGATAAACCAAACACCATGAGAACGAATGCTCTCATCATCTGCATCAGCTGCTGTCATTATTTATGCTGCCGGTGATCCTGTAGAATGGTCATTTCAGGTCAAAAGGCTCATATGTTCTATTTTAATCCTGTAGCCATTAGCATTTACAGAGGAAGAAATTTTAAAATGAAAGAGCAACCAGAAAGTCCCATATCATGGCATTCCCTTTCTCTATCCCACTCCATCTCATCTACCAGGAGCAAGCCATTGATGTTATGCTCCTGCAGCTAAAGGCAACTTGATGTTTTCTGTATCATTCCTATTGCAATATAGAATTAAATATATGGCATGGAAATCGGCTTTCACTCACTCTTGATGCTCTAGATAAAATTAGACAAACAGAATCATGCATTATAACCAAACACAAAAATCGGTGGCAGAAAACTAATTCAGATTTGGCTTTATATGCAGGTACAATGAAAAACATGAGTTTGCCTTCATTTTAAGCAAATACTTTATAAACTCTGAGACATGATAATATGCCAGTTTTATAAAAGAAACATGCATCAGTAGTTAAAAACAGCTCTATGACGGAAGACCTCACAGTACAGGTCAATGGGTGCATTGTGAGCAGTGGCCTATGTGTTACACAGCTTTTTAAGACGGTTCCCTTCTCCTGTATATGACCCCTCAGTCCTCTGGGCCATGCTAGCTTCTCTTTCCCTGAACTTTCATTGAATCAGGCCAGGAGGCACTTTTGCTACTTCTAATAACAGCACCTTCTTGACCAAAGATGAAGCTCATGTCTGGGCCTACAAGACTCTGACTTTGGGTCTCAGTTATGGTTTCTTTCTCCACCTCCAAGGCACCACACCATGTGGTACACCATGGAAATCAGAACGCTACCTTATGGTACAGGCCTGTCCCTACAGACAATAATATTTCTCAAGGACTAGCACCATTTTATGACATTCCACAGGAAAAATGACGGCATCTGCCTACATACGGTACTGTGTAGCCACGCTTTGTTCTGTCTTACCACAGCAATGAAGAAAACGACACTCAGTGGAGTGTGAGCACTCCACCTTTTCTGACAACACAGGTGACCCAAGACGATGCCCTCCATACCTTTGCAGCCACGGACGAATTCGGTTTCTCCAGCAAGTCCCAAAGTTTCTTCCTTTTCTCAGGGCAGCAGGTGTTATCAAACTCCTCTCCCTCCCGCTCACGCATGGTCTCTGCCTCCCGCCTCAGTTCTTCATTCATCTGCTCTTTCTTCTGATGGTATCTGGCTTGGCAGCAGGATTCTAAGTAGATCTCATCGATGCCCCAGTAATCAAGCTCTTGGCCAAAAGAGAGTGCACACATTTCTTCCATCATGTGGAGCTTCCCTGTTCGGTAGAAGTTTAGAATAGACGTGAAAGCTCCAGGATGTCGGTCGAAGAAATACTCATTCTCGTTAAGATTGTAGTCATCGCATACCTCCAGGAGGCTCTCGTGCGTGTTACAGTCTCGAAGCTTCCCCAAGCGTGTCCTGGGTAGCCTATCCAGAGTTCTCCACAGGACTTCGTGGTTAAGTCCCCCCACGTTGATCTTAACTCTCCGAGAGCACGTTTTGCTTCGGATAATGTCCACAGGTTCTGGAGGAAGAGAAAGTGTCGACCTGGACGTCTTCCTGTTCAAGCCAGGTGGAGCCTTTTCTGCCATTTTGAACTGGACAGAACCACAGAGCCAGGGTCCTTAAAGAGGAGGTCAGCTGCAGCAGGACTCCTCCGGAGCAGGCATCTCCATGGCAGCTGGAAACAAAGCAACAGCTTTTGGTTATTCACAGTTCTCCCACATCCCACAGCACTGCCTGTCCTACTGGGTCCTTCAGCTGTTACAACCAGGTCATTCTTTTACAGGTGTAAGTCTATGTTGTAGGAGATAAGATAGAGGGGAAGCAACATAGTTAGGTTCACAGAGGAAGTTGTGTGTTCACTTGTGCACATCTGTAAGTTGACAAGACCCAACTGTGCCACCCCAGTCCTTTTGCTCAAGTTGCTGAAAAGTACCCGTGCCGATGAAGGCCTCAGAGAGAAAACCTCAACGCAGTTCTACCAGCTATGCCTCTAACCTACCCAGTCAGGTCCTGTGCACACCACCTGTTTCAGTTTGACAGCCTTCCTCATGCCCACACCGACCCCAGTCACCTAAGCCAAAGTCTGAGAGCACCTGATCCTCCATCTTCATGCAACTACGGAAGTCTGGACATTATATCTCCTAGACACTGTTTCTACCCTCTGCCATGATCCAGTCCCCAGCACCAAGGCACAGAGCTAAATCCCTTGCCTTCCTTGGTATGTGTCTCTCCAAAAGCCATTAAAACTGGCCCAACCTCTGGTGCTGACCATCTGAAAACCACTCACCAAATAGCTACAAAAAACGTCTACTAAGATACAGACTTGGCCTTGTCACCGATCTTAAACCTTCAAAGGCTCCTTGTTATTGAAAGTAAAACCTAGTCAGTTCTGCAAGATCCTCTCCACCTTCCCTTTTAGTCCAAGTCACTGTCTGAAAACTATCTCCTATCTACAGGGGATATGACTCAAAATACTCAGTGGATTTTGGGATACTTGAAATGTGTATAGCTAGGTAGATAGGTGAATGATATAGACAGCTAGATACAGAAAGCTATACCATGAAATGCTTTTCATACAGACACGCATGCATATTTCTGTGTTTTAATTTTAAGTTAAGTACAGCAATAGATCAACAGTAATAGCTAATAGTAAAATAGAAGAATTATAATAATATAATAGAAGTTATCTAAAACTAAGAATTGTTAATTTCTGTATATTTCCATGTAATATTTTAGGACCTTGTTTGACCACGGTTAACTAAAAACACAGAAAGTGAAAGAGTGGATAAAGGGGACTTTTCTTTCGTGTTGCAACAACCCCATCATGCACACACCACTGTTTCTAGAACTTGGCTTATTTATAGTGGATCCTGGTGGGATCTACACCTTTTCTATTTCCTTTTGCTCAACAACTGCTTGATTTTCAAGACTTGGGCCAGATGTTACCTCCTCCAGAGGGTCTTCCATGACATACCCCCTCTCAGATCAAGAAACTGTATCTCTTGTCTTTCACCATGTTATTGTAACAATGTTTCCACAATATACCACAAGCTCCCAAGAACAAGCCCACCCTTCTTTATTTTTATGCCCTTGTCATTGAGTGCTGTTCTTATACACTGGAGAGGTTTACTACATTTAAATAATGAGTCAATTCTTTGTTTTCCGTAAGGCAGCTAACAGAAAGATGTATACATGAAGTTGTTGGGATCGTGTGCCTAAAATGCACCCATGTGTACATGCTGTACATGTACAGAATACGTTATTGTATGTGTTGTTTGTCTTCTTTTGCGACACATCTCTTTTCCATTGGGCATTATTTGGTTATAACATGATATCTATGGTGTTTTCCCTTTGATGTTCTTATTGTATTGTCATCAGAAGCAGGAAGAATCCTCATGGTTAATGTCTTCTGAGTGATTTGGCAGAAAATCACAGAGCTTTGAGAAACTGACCCTCAGCACTCTCTTTAATGTAAAACGCCATATTTCACAGGTCAGTGCCTGTGCTAAAGTGATGAACTTTGAGATCCAAGAGGTTCTTATGCCTAGAACCTTCTTGTAAGATGCACAACAATGTCTGCAATCCCCAGGATTCTCCATCTGCAAGTTAAATTTATTTCTCCATCTGGTGGACAAGCATCCTCTCAAATGAATATGTTTGGCTTCTGAAGAAAAAGTAGATGGACTATATAAGAAGTATTTTAGGCATGGACAGCAAATATATTTGAATTGGGAGTTTTTCAGATATATAATCATAGGAATATTTTAAGCATGCACACACATACACACGCATACTTCCCTCTTGCCTGGTTAAAAAAAAATATGTCCACTTTTACAAAAGTAAAAAGGGACTATAAGAGACTATAATGATTGCTAAAGTTGTTTGAACTTGAATTCTTCCTTTATAAAAACCAGAATAATAGCTCATCTGTTAGGTGTGGCATCACGGTGAGTAAATGAGACAGTTTGTGTAAAGGCCTCACTCCAAGAAAATACATCTGAATAAAATGAGAATATTCACAGATCTTCCTGAGGTTTGGTTTTCAAACACTGAAAGAAAATGAATAATAAAAAAGCACATTCATTTTTATTAAATGAATGCTGGTATATCTTTTGCCTTCTAAGGCCTGGACTTGTGGGTCTCATCCTTTTTCTCTATTGAGATGTAGATCTACAAATAATGGGTACCCTGTAATATGCACTATGTTGACATTGATGTTCATGTCCACATTTTGTATCTTACTGACACTGAACTATAAATATTTTTTAATGAGCAGCAATATTAATATCAGGCAAAACTGAATGAAAATATTAGGGAAAGGACAATTTCAGTGGTGAGCCCAGATGTCTCCTCCACTGAATGACTTCACTCTGCTGATACCATAACAACTCAAAGTCTTTCACTAGTTCACATGAACAACAAACATTAAGGCCAGACTGCTTTGAGCTCGGATACCGTTCTACTTTGCTTTTCCTTTTCTGTGATAAAACACCAACCCAAAGCAACTTGGAGAAGGAAGGATTTATTTGGCTTATACCTCCACATCACACAATGATGACTGAAGAAAGCTGGGCCAAGGCAAGAACTTGAGCAGAAAGTTGGAAGTAAGAAGTGAAGCAAAGACCATGGAAGAATGTTGCTTCCTGACTCACGTACTGCTTCTGTTCAGCTAGCCTCCTTACGCAACCCAGGACCATTTGCCCAGTGTGGCCCTGTTCCATCAATCACCAATGAAGAAAATCCCCTGCAGGCATACTCACAGGCCAGTCTGACAGAGTCTGCATTGTTCAACTGAGGTTCTCTCTTCCTGGGTATGTAAAATTCATGACCACGAACAGCCATCACAAGGACAAAGGAACAGAAAATGTACCTACTCTTTTTGGAATATCATGCCTTCTGCTTAAGATAAACAGTGTTTTAATTAATTACCTCATGTGTGAGATTATGATATATATACAGAGAACTTTAACATGACTCTGATAGAAACATTCCATAACTATGATCAAAGGTAAACTGAGACCTGCCATCTTGTAAAGTTATTGCCAAGAGTAAATGCTGTGTCCCAGTCACCAGCAGGACAAAATTTCCTTAAGCAATTTCATGCCCACGACTTCACAGAATTTTCCTTTTCAAAGGCTGTCTCAAGTGAAAAGAGAAGAGAGGACAGAGGACTTAGATTTCAAAATATCTTCTTCACTGATCAAGAACTTTCTATTATAAGAAATCCAGTGTTGATTACAGATTCCCACAATAAAAGGCAGGCGGAAACCCAATGCCTTCTTTTCAAAATGAAAAGAGCGACCAGGGTGAGAGAATGCCCTGTTGATTCGATTTCCTTACAACTTAACATTGTCTGCTGTGGCTTTTATTACTGTGGTAAAATTTCCTCATTGACCTTTGGCAGAACGTTCTTCATGTTTCCTGATTAAAGACATCAGTTCTTGAGTAACTAAAGAATTGTGAATTGTGTTCAGAGAGTCAAAAAAGTTTTCAGAATAAGCCAATAATTCCGGTACACTCTAGTGCTCCAGCCCAGACACCAGAACCTCAGAAATTCAACAACCCGTTGTGTCCACCAGCTGGCGCCTCCCCCACTCCCCTGTCTCCACTACCCTGCAAATTCTGTGTCTTACTACCATTCCACCCCCTGTCTTCCTAACGTGCATGTTCACTATGTCATTCGATTCTCACAACCTGGGAAACCATCGAAAAACAGATTATTTTCAGAGTTACACGGCTTCCCATATAAAACCTCTCAAGATTCAGTTATCAGATCTTATTTTAGAGGAAAACAAAAATATGTAAGCCAAGCTGTTATTAGTTTTCAGGTGTTTGAGGCTGAACCTAGTTCTTGGCACTTGTACTACTAAGGCACACACCTTACCGGTGAGGTAACCACAGCCCCTGACAGTATTTTCACTGCCTCTGACTAGGTGTCACTGTGTATCCCAGTCGAATCTCAGACTCCTTTACGCAATCTCAAGCAGCCTACCTGCATCAGCCTCCCAAGCAACCGGGACCGTAGACACCAGCTGCCATGCCTGCCCCAAGGTGCTTTCCAAGGACAGGTGTAGGAGGGCCATAGCATCTCTTCCCACTTGGGCTGACCTTTCTGGTTGGGGTTCGGTTTCCTTGTCCATAGAACAGTGGCATTTCCAAGTCTATGATTCTCTGACTTCCTGTGACACCCGGGTACTGTTTTCCTGTCACTGTGATTCTGTGGCCTTTCCCATCTTCCCTTCAATCTCTGTGTTTACTTTAAACAGGAATAAACACAGACTACCTCCAAATCAATGAAAACTTTTCATTTTCACTTCTAGCTTCCTAATAGAAGAAGGTGGTTCGCATATTTCACTTTAAGAGCCCTTTAATTTTTATCATGGCTTAGACAAGACTACATTCTGAATATCATAAAAGTTTCACTCATTTTATTTAGCATTTAGTTAATTTTCTATTCTGTAGCATTTCACTTTTAATCTATATTCTTTTCTTCCATATTAATTTTACTTCTAACAATGAATCTCTCAGTTTGCTCTGGGTTAGGTATTGTATCTTACCACTCCAGAGTACTGGCAAAATTTATGTTTTTAATTTTGGTAATGAAAAATGGATAAAGTACTGTGTTCTCTCACATATAATTTTATATGTGAAATTATGTCTACCATAATAATTTTA